GTCCGACCTTGCTTCTTTGGGTCTGGACGTCAGCGGGTGCGCTGCCGCTGCTGCTGCCTCTCTGCCGCCATGTTGCGGCGCTTGTTCAGAGCTCCACGCTTTCGCGTGTTGGTGTATCCTCAAGACGCCCTCATCCTGCCGAGTTTGAGACTGGAATTTTGAGCCACTTAAGATTAAAGATTAGGGGTTAAGGTTGGTTTTTTTTTTCGGAATAGATATATTCGATTTTTCCGAATCCATGAATGGATAACACACGCAGGGGCAGCTTCAGCTCAGCTGCTATTGCGTCCTTCCCCCCTCTCTCTCTATCTCTCTCTTTGTTTCTCTCTATCTCTCTCTTTGTCTCTGTATATCTCTATCTCTCTCTTTCTTTCTCTGTCTGTTTGTCTGTATGTCTGTAGTGATGCGAGCACGGAGACCAAGTTGGGCTTTGGGTCTAGGGTTTAGGGATTAGGGCTGAGAGGGCACCACTACAGGGTTTAGGGGTTCAGGGTCTTTAGGGGTTGAGCGGTTTAGGGTTGAGGGCTTGAAGGTTGACTTCCAAACCGCGAAGAGCCTTGAATTTAGGGTTTAGGGTTTAGGGGGTTTAGGGTTCGGAGGTTTAGGGTTCCGGGGTTTAAGGCGGAGGGCTTTAGGGTTTGGGGGTTTAGGGTTCAGAAGTGTAGGGTTGAGGGTTTAGGGTGGAGGGGTGTAGGGTTTAGGGGTTTAAGGTTCAGAGGTTTAGGGTTGAGGGGTTTAGGGTAGAAGGTTTAAGATTTCGGGGTTTAGGGTTTTGGGGGTGTAGTATCTAATCAATAGTCCATCCAGCGCCTGAGCCCCGACTCAGAAGTTGGTTCAAAACCTTCTACCCCAAACCTTTATCCTCAACCCGACAGTTAAGTAATCTCCATTTTAGGCCATATCCTATAGGCATACTTCCTCAGACCTGAAGTTCATCCAAAAACCAAACCCCAAAATTGAAATCCTAAAGCCTTAACCCTAAACCTTAAGCCCTTGACCCTTAAGTCTGAAAAGTTGGGTACTGCCCCCATTCTGCAACAGTTGGATAATATTAATATGACAAATATATATATATATATGTATAGAGCCTAATATAGATTGTTACAGGGTG